AGAGAGGAGTTGGAAGCCTGAGGATATCATTGTCGTTTTCTTTACCATCAGTAGGTCTTTTGTACACATCTAATTTCTAATTGGGGAGATTAGATTACCTAATTTAGAAACCCATTCGTTAGGTTTTTTGTCTTCAACATCATGAAAATCTTTTGGTATTCCTATACTAAATTTATTATAAGACTAATGGTAGGAAGATGAAAATTTGGAACTAATAACATGATTTATATTATATATCGTGAAATTAATTGAAAGATATAATATTATGAGTTAAAAAAATAAAGAGTCAATCATTAAATATTATAGAGTTTACCTTTTAATATTTTAAATGACGTAATTTATATAATATTATTAGTCCAAAATTTTGATTATGTTTATCATTATTCTTATTGTAAACCTCAACTTACCAAATAAAAAAATATATAAACCACATCCTAATTAATTAATTTAGGCAAGTTAGGATTTGGATAAATTGAATTATATGTTCAGCTGGCAATATAAGTAGTAGAAGTAGAAAAAGATGTGTATAGCTGCAGCTTTATTGACAGTTATCAGCAAAAGGATTTTTTTTTTCTTTAAAAAGAAGAAGAAGAAGAAGAACAACAACAACAACAACAACAAATCTTCTCATTTGTTTTTTAAAAAAAATTCAAGCAAAAAGAAATTCTACCTATTAATCAAATTCTACAATTAGAATATGGTCTCAAATATTTCTCAACTTCTAATATTCACATATTTTTTTGGTTTATTTGTCTCGAATATTTGATATTTGAGATCAAGATGTTTGATTAGACACGAATAAGCATCTAGTTATCGTTAATTTACAAATGAAACAACTTTCGATCAATAAATAGAACTTGAATCTTACGCTAATTAGTACTAGACTTGCTTAAATTAATTCAAAATCGGGTCATTTTTCATATTGTTTAAGTGTGTGTAGGGTGGTGTTTAACAAGCATAATCATCAAGATAATGACCTTCTAAGCTAACTTTCATCATGCATAAGTTCCCCATTATCGGTTGATCAAATCCATCATCCATCGCCACGTGTAAACTCTACATATGTGACTTTTGAATGGCGATATTGATAGGGTTTCTTATACACTATCCAAAGTGGCAGGGCTTGATTAATTAGGAAAGTAATTAAATTAAAATAGTTTTGTTATCGTTTTGAGTGACATACTCTCCTGTAAAAACCCTAAGTAGTAGGTAATCCAACTTTAGGGTTTTTTTTAATTTATGATTAATTTGGTTCTTTTTAGGTCTTAGGGTTTGGTTGCATCTCTTGCACGGATCGGAGTACAGGTGTATGCAATGCACAAAATCAAATTTACACCATTTTAAAAGCATTCTTAAATTCAAACTTATTGGAAGCACTAAAATTGGGGAGGGGACCATTTTCTTTAATTTGATAAGATTTCAGACATTTCTTAAACCCTTTTAAGGTTTATGTTTGCTCTCCCATATATAACCCTCTAAAAAAAGCAGCCATTTATATTAAATTTTTCTATAATAAAGGGAAAAGAAGATTCGTACCAATAATAGAAAAATATTTGTCATTGTGTCTCCCAATATATACTTAAGCAATCTATATCACGACATACCACATAAGCATGAATAATTACTTTTATCAATGTTATGGTGGACATGTATATATATACGCATTATGCATGCGCACAGACACATATACATATATACACATCTATAAAATAAGGATTGAATTGTAACAAACGTGAAAAGCAATAACGTGTCTCTATTTAACAGGATATTAGGTTTTTTTTCTGTTTATAGAGAGATGGCAGATCATAAAATTGGAAATAATTCAGAAAGGGATGGCTACAAGTACAACTTTGGAGGTGGTGGTGGTGGTGGATTCCCTTCGGATGGCTCAGGCGAGGATGGCATCATTAGGGAGCAGGACAGGCTGCTTCCGATCGCCAACGTGGGGCGGATCATGAAGCAGATTCTTCCTCCCAACGCAAAGATCTCCAAAGAGGCGAAAGAAACCATGCAAGAATGTGTCTCTGAGTTCATCAGCTTCGTGACTGGAGAAGCCTCCGACAAGTGTCAAAAGGAGAAGAGGAAGACAGTGAACGGAGACGATATTTGCTGGGCACTGACAACTCTAGGATTTGACAATTACGCTGAACTCTTAAAGAATTACTTGCATAGGTATAGGGAGCAGGAGGGAGAGAGGGCTAACCAAAATAAAGCCAGCAGCCATGAAGAAGCATCCAACTACAGAACAGAACCGCCAAGGAGAGCAGCGTTACCGCCGATGAATGCCCCGATGAGGTTCAATGTGGTTGACAGGAGCACCTCTCTTTTCTAAAAAGCTTGGATCAAGTATGACAGTTTATATATTTTATAGCCTTGAATCGAGTAATTCTCCACGTTTCTGGGGATTTATGGGGGGTAAATGGGTGGATGTTTTTATGTTTCTAAATTTGTGTGAGCTTACAAACTCTGTTAATTTGTTTAATTTTGACTTTAAGTACTGTTGCAAGTTTAAGAATTATGAAAATTTGGTGGTATCCTAATGTTTTTCTTTCTTCCTCGGATTTGCATCTCTTGAAGTCAAAAGATACAAGATTCTTGTTTCTATTGCCATCTGCTCCATAGATGGACAGCAAGAGTTCTCATATTTGAAATTTTTAGGGGTTTGGTGATCAATTTTGCTAAATTATCCTCTTAATTTTTGCTTAAATGTTTACAAATCGATTTTCAGTGGCTTTGAAGAATTCAACCAAATTAAAATTGTTGGGGTTAATTTCCAACTTTCCTCTCTTTTTCTTCGTTTGTGATTTAAACTCAAGCTCTAATATGAGCTAAAAAAAACTAATTCCCCTTTCTCTCTCACACGATTTTTGCTTAAGGTATCCTTTCTAGTTAAAGAATTATTACACTACAAATGAATTAGTTATTCTTTCTCTTTTCTCTTCTCTTAATTAATTGTTAGTTCAAAATTTTTTTTTTCAGTAACATTAAAGTCCTCTGTCTTTTATTAAAAACAGTTAATTTTTTTTCAGTAATTACTATAGTAGTTTGAATTTTGTCTATCTTTTTCCAATTTAATGCCTCAAAGCAACTGTATATTTTAGTTGTGAATTATCCAAACAAAAATATATATAACTAGAGGCCAAGGAGTTTTACTAAACTCTATTTAATTAATTATCCTTTTTTTTTTTTTCCAATGAAACTCTTTTTCTTATTAGCATGCATTTTTTTTTTTTTACCAACTGAGTACTTATAAGTGATTTGGTGGTAATCGACTGAAATGTCCACAACTTACAAATTAAGTTAAACAGCCTCTATCAATTGAAGGTTTAATATTTTGGCTTTTGTCCACATATATGACTTGGATTTTTTTGCCAAACGAATTCAGATTAATTTCGTTACATCATACTGAAATTAACAATAATAAAGTCACTAATATCATTTTTAAGTAGGATGTTCAAATTGGAACTTTGGATCTTGTTCATATATATAGACATAAGAAATTCAATAATCCTATATATAAAATTCCATGAAATTATGCTTTAAAAAGAACGTCATTTTTTTGATATTTACCTTGCGGCCAATGCATTAATTTTACAGTAAAGTTAGAAATTCACAATCCCTCTAAACAAATCATCTATCTCTACTCTTCTACCTGGCCTATATATCTACTGACTAAAAATGTCTATAATTGTTCAAAGCCTAGATTTTATTTTTCCTTCTATAGAAACCCTAGATTTAGGACCACACAAGTTGAAGTTCTCGTACGTATTAATTTTCCAGATTTGTCTCCGGAATCATTTTCCTGCAACTAAGGAAAAGATGACTCAAAATCATCAATGTCGTTGTTCAAGAATCTCTGTAGAGGGAGGCAAGGAAGGATAAAGAATAGGAAAGACTTTCTAGGGTTTCTCACTTTGAACAGCTGCTCTCCTTGCCTTAATAAGAAAATTTTGAATTAAGTACTGTCAAATACTTAATTTTCTTGAAATTTTAAAAAGAGATGAATGTAGGGGATGAAAGATTTGAGACGGTAGTGTTGCTTATTGGTACTACTCATTGGAATGAGTAATCTAATGGTA